TCACCTCTAAATCTCATTCATGCCGCCATGTTCTGAATTCTTGTACCTCCTCAATAAGCTGACTATGATCTATTTTTTTTTGCATGTCCAGATGTGGAGAACTCATCCCGCTCGCACCAGCATGATTTCAGGCAGATACATTGGCAATACCTTCAAGTCATCACACCGCACCTTCATAGGGAGGATAAGTAAGTCCCGTTGGCATGTCGAATCTGCTTGAATTGAAGCAGAATTCGCCAATGCAACGGAATAGGATTACCTCGATCGGTTCAACTCCGGGATGGGGCATGGCAATTGCTGAATGTTTTTTTCCCCCGCTTTCTACTTTACATATTAAGTCTTTTTAGATAAAGACTATCTGGCCAGATGTGAATTCGAAACGGTAGCACGGTACACATCTACGAATCCAGCAACCATACACCAGAAGCAGCTTCTCGCCCTACCAGTCCTTTGAAAAGACGACGACTCTTTTGCTTATTGTGTGTTTGAATGCGTCCCGTGCATCCAGCAAACAAACAAAGTCGATAACAATCGAGGTTGAAGTCACCGGTTCAGCGGCAAAAAAGCGGAGCGAACCTTGGGACCGGAAGATATAAAAAACGTCAAAAATGGCTATTGGAATTGCGGGCGCTGGGAGTCGAACCCAGAACGGCTATTATAATTCACCTGGCGTTTCGTATAATGGACATAGCTGTGCACGAGCACCACACCCGCATAATCTTGAATGTCGAACACCGCCTGAGAGTGAATGGATTTTGTTGTTGTGATTTTCTGGCCAGGCCAACTGATCAATCTGAAATAGTACCAGCCTGCCAATGGCAAAGTGCTTACCCGCCACTTGCAAGGTATGTGGGCAGACTGGTTACGAGTCTACAATGGTGCAATGATTGGTACAAAAAGAGCCTGATGTCAGGAACTTGATTCCTGGCCTCTTGTGGATTGTGGGATGAGCCTGAGCAGGATAACATGGTTACAGCGACTAAGCTAGCTTGGATCTATTCTTGACACTTGTATTGCTATTACAACATTTTCCACCCCCTAACTCTTTCCACGGTAACTTGATTCCACATTCCAAGTGCAGTGGTCATTCTCCACTGGTATATGTCCATAATGGGTCTGAGATCAGCATGAGCAATTCTATTACTGACATGTCAGTAACCAGTACCCATAAATGAAAGAGGGGGAAGACACACCGGATACCCTGAAAAGGGATCCACTGTGCAACAGCAGTACTGTCCGTTGAACCAATTACAGAATGAGACATCTTGGGCCTTGGCATGGCCACCATATGGGTGGAGGACCCGGTTGGTGTTGGCAGAGTTGGCAAGGGGGACTGGATTGGCACTGGCAGCAGTGGCCAGGGTGATCACTATGAATGACACTGATTTGAAGAATTGCATGATGGATTGGTTGAGCCTGGCCATTGGTGCTCAGATGTGACACTTATATACCAGGACAGTATGCTGGTCTTGTATGATTCCAAAAATTGTACCAGAACAGTGAGGGGCCAGAGTGATGACCCCTCAACAGATATAGCTATCTAGCTCAAGAATGCACATCTGCTCAGGAGCTAGTGCAGTTTGGTCTCTGTATAATCTACAGGGAGGGGGCAAGAAATAGGATCGAGTGATAACCCCCTATAGCTCTCTAGCTCAAGAATGCATCTCTGCTCAGGAGCTAGTGCTTAATATGACCTCTGTATAGTCTACAGAGAGGAGAGAGAAATAGAAGGCAATCAAGCCTGGAATGGGGAAGAAAGAGGAGGAGGAAGGGACTCAGTGGGTAGGACAATTACTTACAGGGATATCAATCATCATGACAACTACCTCATCCCCATTCTTGACGGTCTACAGTTATTAACAGTTAAATTCGAGTGTGATCAACTGTATTGTATGTACCAGTCAAAGAGCTATTTTCCAGAAGAATACTGGGAAACAAGGTTTAAAAGGCCTATTTAAGTCAACGTACCAGTGCTCTCATTCATAAAGACTAAAATACCTTCATAGTGGTGCTGTGAAGTAACTGTACAAGTGGAGTTTGGATAAGTAAAGTGAGGTCAGTGTGGAAAAAGATAAGTTAACTTGCCAAGTTAGGAAATAAGGTACTTTTTACCAACTCCTCTGACCCCGGACTGCCCTGGTACAATTTTCAGAATTGTACGAGACCTGCATAGTTGTCCTACCAAAGTCTATTCCTCCTCCTCCTCCTCCTTTTGGGTCTACTTCTTACCCATTCCAGGCTTGGTAGCCTCCTATTTCTTTCCCATACCTGTAAATAACACAGACATCAAATTAAGCACTAGCTCCTGAGCAGATGTGCATTCTTGAGCTAGATAGCTATATCTGTTGAGGGGTCATCACTCTGGCCCCTTACTGCCCTGGTATGATTTTTGGAATTGTACGAGACTAGCATACTGACCTACTATATAAGTGTCACATCTGAGCACCAATGACTAGGCTCAACCAATCCAGCATGCAGTTCTTCAAATCAGTTTCATTTGTAGGGGTCACCCTTGCCATTGCTGCCAGTGCCAACCCAGTTCCCCTGGCCAACTCTGCCAGTGTCAACCTGGCCACCCCTCCACACACATTAGAATGTATGCAGGTTGGCCAAGAGTATTGTTGTTGTATACCTGAAGTGGGTCTTTCTTCTTGTTTTGTTTATGTTGGGTATTGGTTGCTGACATGCCAGTAATAGTACTGCATCTGCCATTGATCTTGGGACCACCATGGAAATGTGTCAGTGAAGAATGGCTAGCATTTGGGGAAGTGGAATCAAGTCGCCATGATTCAACTGTTGAAAGAGGGAACAGGGGGAAAATGTTGTAATAGAAATATAGGTATCAATGCATCCAAGTTGGTTGGTTTCTGTGACCATGTTATCCCACTCAGGTCTATCCAACAATCCACAAGAGACCAGCATAACATAGCATGACATGAGGCTTTTTTTTTGCACTTGTACTATAGAGGGCTAGGCTCGTCCCCAGCCGGCCCAGTTTGATACGAGATCTCGCGTAACTCGATGACAACAACCGGGACCGGCTGGGCTGCCTCGTCGCACTTTTTGGTGATGGACGATCTCCCCGCCATTTGAAGCGACGGGACTTAGAAAAAAAATGTTGAAAACATCGAAAATTTGCCCCCAACTTAAATATTGTACCATGGCTTATTTTTGCCGCTCTATCTTTTACTTCAAACACATTTTTTTACTGAGGAAAAGGATAAATCATTCAAATAAACCGCGCAGGGGCAGGGGATAGACTATATACATTGTACGAAACGGAAAAAAACGCGTCCTTTTAGCTACGAACACGTAGAATTAATGAGTATCGGGGGATGTGTCCGAATCGGGATTAAAATGTGGCTGTGCCAGTTCTGGTGATGTAGACGATTCAGACTGCGTGTGCACACTGCTCGCAGTTTGAGGGGTTGGCGGGTGGATGGGGGTGTGCATAAGAGTAGCATAAGGATTATAACACATATTTTCGGGCACTGACGGTTGTGCCCGATTTGGACAACTCCGCCGAGGTTGCTTAATTTGACGTGTTTATGGTGCCCGAGGCGCATTTTTCTTTGTTCATACGGTACATGTGGTCCGTTCATCCCCCTGGGCGGCCCAATGAAGCTAATCCATATTTTAGCTCAATAGAAAAACCCGTTTGAAGTAAAAGATAGAGCGAGAAAAGTTATTCCTGGTACAATACTTCAGTTGGGGACGGATTTTGGGTGATTTCAATGTTTTTCTCCTAAGTCCCGTCGCTTCAAATGGCGGGGAAATCTTCCATCACCCAAAAACGCGACGAGCCGGCCCAGTCCGTCCCCAAGCTTACCTCCGATTTCACATGCATCATTTTTTTGGCTCTGTTGTGTCTGATGTTGTATATATTTGCTCTCTGTCCTAATTCGTCCCACCCCGTGCGAGATTGTAAGCGCAGGGGACGTCGACTGGTTAACGAGTCTAATAGAGGGCATTCAGCCACTTGAAACAAAACTGGACACCACGTGCACACTTTTGAGCTGAGACATTCATCCATCACACCAGAAGGAATTGCAGAGAAATTGTGGTATTTGAGTACACACACTGGGGGCAAAGGCCGGGGCACCTGGATTTCAGGTGCCTCCAACGCATGTACATCAAAGATGGTGATGGGTGTTTTGGCACAAAGGAAACAAAGGTGAGAATTCCTTTATTTCCTTTGTGCAAACTGGTTCCATTGCACCTGCCGACCACATGCCTCGGAGGCACCTGGTGTCCAGGTGCCCTGGATTTTGCCCCCAGTGACAGTAAAGTTACTGATTGAGTTGCCATCAAAATTTGAGTGTTCAGAATCAAAATATTCCACCTCACTGTCTTTCCCCACGTATCCAATCTACAATTTTGACAGCATCTATGGGCAGCCTTCATAGACCTGACCATTACCAAAACCTTGTGGTAGCCCATCTTGGGGATGCATCATCCCATACAGCAGAAAGGCTCATTACTGGGCTCGACTCAAATGCAGTTGATTTGCATTTGAAGAGGATGGATCTTAGTGAAATCAGCACATGCCTTAGGACCATCAACCCACCACTCAAAGTGATCTGGGAGCAAGAATACTAGGGAACTAGGGAAGAATCAAGATGGCATTCACTGATGATCTCAAGAATCTGCAATTGCCACCGGTGACTGCTGTAGAACTGTTGGGTGGTGTTGAATCCTCAGAATTGTAGCCATGTAAAATCTTAATTGATGGGATCTTCTTCCCTAAAGAATAAATCTCAGATGCTGGGCTCTGTTTTAGTGAGACCTTCGACAAAATAAACCAGTGCCAGTGGTTGAATCTATTCAACATCTTCAAAACCACAACTCAAACAGGCTCCACGCACAGTGTTCCAACAGAAAATTTCTTTTCCACTTGACAGTTGAATACTTAGACGCAAGCATTATGTAGTATTTTTACACTATTATGTGAGAGAAAAAATAAACAATGGGACATTCAGAAGAATGCGCAGGATGCACTAGTCAGACATCGGGAATCGAACCCGAGACTGTGTCAGCGTTAGTAATAAGACCATGTTACCATTACACCATATCTGACTGGGAACACCCTCTGTTAAAAGTCACATCTGTGGTGTGAAAGTCATATACACAAGAGGCAGGCGGGAACAAAATCCCGAACACTCACTGCTATTTGATCCGATCAATTCCGGCCATCCGTGTTTGGTCGATTTCCACAATGGATGGCCAAAATCATATTTTTGATGTCCTCTACCTCCCCAAATTCGCCAATTCTGAGTCGAACTGTCTCTTCAGTTTTTTCTAGTGTTGCCAGATACTTCAGAATAAGATTTTAAAAATTGCTTACATGTACGACATGTAATAAGTTTGACACAGCGAGGAAAAATGTAGCATCTCACTGGATTATCACACACACTTCATTTAAGGGAGAGAAACATTTATCCAGGGTATTCAAGTCATTCTGTCTCCTAGGATTGAGAGAAACGGCCCCGAGAATGGCAGAATAAGTGGCTCGTCCAAATCCGGATGTTCTCACGGGAGTGGGGGGGGGGGGGGGGGGGGGGGGCTCATTTCAAATTCTAGCAGTAGGTGTCATTGATTTCCGTTCTGCCTACCTATTGCATATACGGGGTTCTGGGATGCCATCTGGAAGGAAATCCAGAAAGGTAACAGAACGAGGTTGAACAAAATGAGGGAATCAAGTTGATGAACCCACACAACTGGTAAGAAACATTGGAGCCTTGGTTTGGATCAATGTTTGAGTTCAACTTGATTTCTTGTCCAATCCCCTCTCAACCTGAACCTGGAGTCCACGGACAAATAGCTCTTAAACTTTGTTCTAATGTTCACATCAATCAAATTAAACCTACAATTTTTGCCTCTCCATTCGAATGCACCTTTTTTTTCCCCTTTTTTCGGATATGTCATTTTAGTTCGGACCCAGCTTTGCTTCCTGCCTGCGACTGTAACTATTCATTGTATATTCACTCATTGTATATTCACGGGCACGTAATATATATGGGCTCAGTTTTTGTTTTGATCATCCTCCTCAATTAACATATCATTCAGATGGCCTAGGCTCTGTTTTTAACAGGCACACTTGCAGAGTATCAGCTCAATATGTTGTGGTTATGAACAGTTGAATTGCAGGCATGTGATCTGCTCTCGGTATGGAAATTTGCACGCTGCTTCTATGCGACTCCCATCTGGTCCCTCTATTGAAGAAAATGTGATCCTGAATGATTTCGAAGAACTGAGGTTGATTTTTGCTGCTTATCATCCAGTCAGAATTGCCAACAATGCCTTCTATGCAGCATCCAAACAGTGAGAATAGCCCCCACTAGTAGTCTTGTTACCAGCCTGCCAGCGGCATATCTTGGTGCTTGCACCTTGCCGCTATGCAGGCTGGTACAACTCGGGACAAACAATTGGTCTGCGCGCTGAGTTTGAAATTGATAGCAGCGCGAATTGGCGCCATGACATCACTGGGACATCATCAACTGAATTCGATCAATTTTGGTTTCAACTTCAATGCATTGTTCACCAGGCTGGCGGGGTTCAGACAGAAATCTGAAGCGGCAAGATTGCTCACATTTGCTATCCCACCTGACAGTTCTCTTTGAGCTCATGATTCTGATGCAAAATGCGGCCATGACGAGCGAGATCAAAATATTTCAAACTCAGCGCGCAGACCAATTGTTTGTCCCGAGTTGTACCAGCCTGCATAGCGGCAAGGTGCAAGCACCAAGATATGCCGCTGGCAGGCTGGTAACAAGACTACCCCACTAGCAGTCCTAATCCACTGGTTGAACCAGATTTTGCCAATCCATTGGAATAGTATTAGTCCGCTTCAACCACAGGCTGGGCCATGATCACCTCAGTCAGGAGGCCAGGGAAAAGCTTGAAAAACCCCAAGAAACTCTTTTACGCAAATTCGGATACTCTCAAGACATTTCCCCAAGAGTCTCAGATGCTCTGGTTGTAAAGTTGAGACATTACATTCCTACAGAGTTGGGCAATATCAAAAGGCTACAGCACACCAGGAATATCTTGATTCTTTTGGTGTCTGCTGACTAAATTGATAGCAATTCAGCTGGTGCCACAGGCAACTTTATTGTGTGCACAAATATTGCAATTTGCCTGAAATTTCTTCTGACATGGTAGATAATTATTTTAGCTACAAGGCAGCACAGGCAGTGGGAAGCGATGTTGAAATGAAGAAGGAATAAATGAATATTTAGACTGGCATCCATGTGAGTAACAAGTCTATATGTATTTTACGGTGAAGCTTGATCAAGATGTTTGCAACCGCTGGCAAGAAATCACACATGGTGCTTCGTAAAACAGGAGAGCCAGATAGGAATCAATCCATTGGGAATGGCTTTGTGACTGATCATTGATACATGGTCACTTTTTGAAAGAAGCTATCCATCATTGCAAAGAGCTCTGGTACAGGAGAGATTGGCAACCCGGAGGAGGATATTAGAATGAACAGCATGAAGACAGCATTGATTATTTCGCCTGAGACAGTACTTGAACATTTTTGGAACTTGCAGCAAGACGGAAGGAGTGGGAAAGCAGGAAGATGAGTAGCAGTTGAATTCTGAATGTCAGACATTTTACAGGCTCTTTTATATTGGATGGTCTATGTGTGGCCATATGTGGCCAGACGTGGCTGCAGTTCCGGAACACTTCGGGGCTGCACAGTGAGAATATTCCACACATTTAGGAAGGTTTCAACAGCTTTCAAGGGCAGAGGATCAAAGGAATTAGATGCTATTTGTACACAATCAAATCACCAAAGAATTGAGAGAGTAATCGTCAAGAGAATGAGTAATAAAATAGGCTGTCAGCTTTGTGTCAAGTGGCTGAATGCATCCATGGTGCAATGATCAGTGCCCAAAAAAAGCCTGGTGCCAGGAGCTTGATTTCTGCCAGACTCTTGTGGATTGTCAGAAATGGAAAGGGTGACCACTACAAATGAAAGTGATTTGAAGAATTGCATGATGGATTGGTGGAGTCTGGTCATTAGTGCTCAGATGTGACACTTATATAATAGGACAGTATGCTGGTCTCGTATGATTCCAAAAAATTGTACAAGGGCAGTGAGGGGTCAGAGCGATGACCCCCTGTATCTATCTAGCTCAAGAATGTATATCTGCTCAGGAGCTAGTGCTTAATTTGATGTGTTCATTTACAGGTACGGGAAAGAAATAGGAGGCTACCAAGCCTGGAATGAGTAAGAAGTAGACCCAGGAAGGAGGAGGAGGAGGAGGAAGAGACTTTGGTAGGACCATTATGCTGGTCTCGTACAATTCTGAAAATTGTACCAGGGCAGTCCAGGGTTGGTAAAAAAGTACCTTATTTCCTAACTGGGCAAGTTATCTTATCTTTTCCCACACTGATCTCACTTTACTTATCACTCGTATGGTTACTTTGCGGTACCACTATGAAGGTATTTTAGTCCTTATGAAGGAGAGCACTGGTATGTTGATTTAGATAGGCCTTTGAACTTTGTTTTCCCAGTATTCTTCCGGAAAATAGCTCTTTGGCTGGTACAGTTGATCACACTCGAACTTGACTGTTGATAACTGTAGACCATCAAAAATGGGAATGAGGTACTTGTAATGATGATTGATACCCCTGTAAGTATATCCCAGTGTACTTGTCCTACTAAAGTCCCTTCCTCCTCTTTCTTCCCCATTCCAGGCTTGGTTGCCTCCTATTTCTCTCACCCTCCGTGTAGATTATACAGAGACCAAATTAAGCACTAGCTCCTGAGCAGATATGCATTCTTGAGCTAGAGAGCTATAGGGGGTTATCACTCGAGCTCTGACCCCTCACTGCCCTCGTACAATTTTTAGAATCATACGAGACCAGCATAATTTCCTACTATATAAATGCCACATCTGAGCACCAGTGACCAGGCTCAACCAATCCATCATGCAATTCTTCAAATCAGTTTCATTTGTAGGGGCCATCCTTGCCATTGCTGCCAGTGCCAACCCAGTCCCCTTTGGCAACTTTGTCAGAGCCAACCCAATCCCCCTTGCCAACTCTGCCCGTGCCAACCCGGTCCTCCACCCATATGGAGCAGGCTGTTCTCAGATGGGCCAGGAGTACTGCTGTTGTACATGGGATGATGTGACTGGGGCAGGCCCAGTATGTCTTTCTTGTTTTGTGCATGTTGGGTACTGGTTGCTGATATGCCAGTAATAGTATTGCTACTGCCATTGATCTCAACACCACTATGGACATGTGTCAGTGGAGACTGACCAGTGTTTGGAAAGTGGAATCAAGTTACCATGGTACTAATTGGTGAAGGAGTTAAGGGGTGGAAAATGTTGTAATATCAATACTGGTGTCAAGCATGTGCCATGGTCCTATGTTGAAAGAGTTAAGGGGTGAAAAATGTTGTCATAGCAATACTGGTGTCAAGAATGTATCCAACTCGGCTTATTTTTTGTGACCATCCAGCAGTCCAAAGAGCCCACCTGACATCAGGATCTTTCTGTACCTAGCCATGTACTGCGGGTGCATTCAGCCACTGAGCCACTTGAAACAAACTGAACAGCATATTGTTAGCTGGGAAAATCATCCCTCACATCAGCAGAAATTGCAGAAAAATTGTCACATTTGAGCACACAATAAAGATGTCCTTTATAGCAGGAGTCAAGCTCCTATCGATATCAGTCATTAGTGATTGGCCATGAATGGGGAAGAATCAGAATGGCATTGACAGATGATCTTGAGAATCTGCACCAGTCGTCCCAAGCGGCATCGGAGACTACTGTAGTGTTGGGCAGTGTCAAATTCTCAGACTTGTAGCCATATACTGCATTATTTCAATCTGGTTGATAGTCACACATCACGCACCCTCCTATCGATATTGAAATTTGATTGAAGTCACACGTCATGCAGGGCTTTATTGAACCCAAAATTCGAGTCATGCAGGAAAAAATCTAGCGAAAACACCAAAAAAAACGAAATTCTGTGTTCAAATCTTCGCAAAATTTCGGATGGTCACACACAAATTTTGGTTATCGAATTGTCGAAATGGTCCTGCATTGTCACACATCACACCCTATGTCGATTTGATTAAAATAGTATAAAATCTCAATTGATTTGATTTTCTTCGCCAGACAATAATTATCAGATGGTGGCCTCCATTGTACCCAGGCCAGTTTATATTACGTAGCAAAATGTGTGGGACCTTTGACAAAAAACCAGTGGGGGTGGTTCAATTTATTCAACATCTTCAAAAGCACAACTCAAACAGGCTCTGCTGGAACCTTCCTTTTCCATAGCAGACTGCGTAGAGGCAAGCATTACGTGGTATTTTACACTACTATTACTTCCAAGGAAGAATAATATGGCGGTCAAAATGCACATTTAATCATCCGCAACTTCTTTTGATCTCAGGCTTTTCCGCAACTTTTAGACAGCTTTTGGTTGGTTGAAAATAGTTGCGGGATCCCGAGACCTCGTCCTGGCTGTTCGGACTTACACTAGCAGATCTATGATCAATTCATTGTGTTTCAAAAAATATCCTATCCCCTAATTCACCAATTTCCCAGTTCACACTGGATGAACATTTCGAGTTTTTGACTGCTAAAACTGGTGAAAAATATTCAAAGTTTTACATCAATTTTTCACTGCAAAAGTGGGTGAAAAATTCAAAAGTTTCTTACCACTTTTCCAAGTTAGAATGAAAGTGAAAAACTTGAAATAAAATTGATAGTTTCTTTTAGAAGATTTTCATCAAAAATGTCTCGGATTTTACAGAACATTTCTAGCTGCAAAAGTTGGTGAAAAATTTAAAAGTTTCTTACCACTTTTCTGAGTTAGAACAAAAGTGAAAAACTTGAAATAAAACGGATAGTTTCTTTTAGAAGATTTTTATCACGAATATTTCACATTTCATAGCACATTTCCTGCCTCATAAAGAGGTGAAAAATTCAAAACTTTTTTACCACTTTCCCCAGTTAGAATCAAAGTGAAAAAACTTGAAAGAAAGTTGATAGTTTGTGTTAATTTTTTTTTCGTCAGGACAACTCAGCCAATCACCGAGATTCAAGTGAAAAGTTCAAAAGCAAAGATACAGTAAGTTCAGTGTCAATAGTGATAAAAAGCCCGAAATATTTTCCAGACATTTTTGAATTGCATCCCTGCAGATTTAGGTTCTGTTCCACAATTGTGTTGAAAATCAGTGGTAAATTCTGTATTGGCAGGAGTTGAATTTGAGTGTGGTTTTGGATGCCTGGCAGTCAGGGGCACCCATTTGCACACTTGAATTCACCGCCAAGCTGTCTGTGCTCCAATGGATTTAACTTCCGCTTTCTCCCTGCGATTATAGACACTGGGGGCAAAATCCAGGGCACCTGGACACCAGGTGCCTCCGAGGCATGTGGGCGGCAGGTGCAACGGACCCAGTTCACACAAAGGAAATAAAGGAATTCTCACCTTTGTTTCCTTTGTGCCAAAACACCCATCACAACCTTTGATGTACATGCGTCGGAGGCACCTGAAATCTAGGTTCGGATCAAGCCCGCCGATCATTGTTTGTTGATGCGAACAGTGTTTGGGTGCAAACAACCGGAGGGGCTTGGGTCAAGATGCTCGAAATGGGGGGGACGTTCGTCGCGTCCTAGTGAGTTCAATACCGTGTCAAACGCCTCAGGTTAAAGAGACGACCTTTTCAATTTTAGTCAACTTAGATTTCTGTCACTTCAGAATTCTATAGCTCTGCTCATAGGCACTAGCGTATGTGCGCCAAGAGCAAGGTCCTCAACTGAAAATGCCCATTTTCATTGTGTCATTCCGACACGATTTCAGCCCAGATAATTTTTTTTTGGGAGACAAAATATATTCTATGTAAGCTGGGAGTGATTTCTAAGCTCAGGGATTGTTATTTCGGCCACTGGAAAGAAAACGAGACAAGTCGAGCCTTGCCGCCGCTTTTGTCGATCCATTTCCATTTTGGAAAGGCCCGGATAGAAACACCAAGATAGAGAACAAGGCAGAGAATGAGGTGGAGCTGCCTCTGAGGATAGGTTTTGGCTTCCAGGCAGATGATCCTCCCAATAATTGGTGTCAAACTGGAGTGTGGCCATCGCAGCAGAGGAGAAGAGACGCGTCGCTGTAATCGATCGCGTCGTGTCACACTGTGATATTATGTGACATGTGTGACTCCTAATTAGGCGGCAGCTTCACAATTTTATTTGACGCGTCAGAATGCTAATCTGAGAATTCTGAGGAGACAGAAAGTGTCAGTATTATTGTTTCATTCAATCGAGCCCATAAAATCCGGAACCAGACATGTTCCGCTGTTCCACCTGGAATGGTTCTCCGCCAACAGACTTCACGGAAAACCGGTGAATACCAGAACTCCTGTGGGTGACATAAAATGCTACTCTAATATATTTCTATAAGATACAATAAACATTTTGTTCACTGAAAACAAGTTCACGAAGACACAGGCTGTGGTGCAATCGAGGCTCAAACATCCTCACTATTTGGTGCAGCTTGTTCCAGGCCTCTCTCCGAGATTGTCCGGCTTGCCGGACCGGAGACAGGCTTGCTCCGAACCTACCTGAAATCCAGGTGCCCCGGCCTTTGCCCCCAGTGAGAGGTATTTTATTTCCGCTGGGGGCAAACCTTGGCGGAAGTTGAATTTGAGTGTGGTTTTGGGTAGACCAAGGCTGATTATGGGAGCCTGTGCTGCTGAACGTCCCTCCGAGGTGGCACCAGCTCTGCGGATTTAAGTTCTGCTCTGTCATTGGGTCGAAAATCAGTGGTAAATTCCGTATTTTATTTCTGCTGGGGCCAAACCTGGGCGGAAGTTGAATTTAAGTGCGGTTTTGGGTAGACCAACACTGATTATGGGACCCTGTGCTGCTGAACGTCCCTTCGAGGTGGCACCAGCTCTGCGGATTTAAGTTCCGCTCTGCCATTGGGTCGAAAATCAGTGGTAAATTCCGTATTTTACTTCCGCTGGGGGCAAACCGTGGCGGAAGTCGGATTTGAGTGTGGTTTGGATGCCTGGCAGTCAGGGGCACCCATTTGCACACTTGAATGCACCGCCAAGCTGTCGGTGCTCCAATGGATTTGACTTCCGCTTTCTCCCTGCAAACAGGCAATTATGGAGGTATTTTACTTCCGCTGGGGGCAAACCTTGGTGGAAGTTGGATTTGACTGCTGAGGTTTTCCCCCAGCGGAAATAAGATCAGGAATTTTCATTGATTTTCAACACAATTGTGGAGCAGAACCTAAATCTGCAGGGATGCAATTCAAAAATGTCTGGAAAATATTTCGGGCTTTTCATCACTATTGACACTGAACTTACTGTATCTTTGCTTTTGAACTTTTCACTTGAATCTCGGTGATTGGCTGAGTTGTCCTGACGAAAAAAAAAATTAACACAAACTATCAACTTTCTTTCAAGTTTTTTCACTTTGATTTTAACTGGGGAAAGTAGTAAAAAAGTTTTGAATTTTTCACCTCTTTATGAGGCAGGAAATGTGCTATGAAATGTGAAATATTCGTGATAAAAATCTTCTAAAAGAAACTATCCGTTTTATTTCAAGTTTTTCACTTTTGTTCTAACTCAGAAAAGTGGTAAGAAACTTTTAAATTTTTCCCCCACTTTTGCAGCTAGAAATGTTCTGTAAAATCCGAAACATTTTTGATGAAAATCTTCTAAAAGAAACTATCAATTTTATTTCAAGTTTTTCACTTTCATTCTAACTTGGAAAAGTGGTAAGAAACTTTTGAATTTTTCACCAACTTTTGCAGTGAAAAATTGAATCTTTAAATATTTTTCACCAGTTTTAGCAGTCAAAAACTCGAAATGTTCATCCAGTGTCAACCGGAATCATGTTCAACCATATTTGAACATACCTATCGAGAATTGCATCCTGGAATTGGTCCTGTCCTGTTTCTGCCAGGTGTATGAAGGTCAGAATGAATGTGTTCAGTCGATCAGCAAGTCTGCAAGCCAGATAGTCTGCATAGCTCATCATTGATTGGGCAATTCACCCCCACAGATCAAGCTCATTGCCACCATGGTCTCTGCTCCGACTTCCTTTCTGGATGCCTGTAGAAACTCTTGAACTCATCTTGGCAGGATTCTCGACACTCGCACAGGCATTGGGTACGGGACTGGTGTAGGACCTGTCTAAGTGATACGTGTATGGCTCTGTTTGTTGCTATTTCGGTGATCGGACCGGACCTGGACAGGAAGAGACGCGACAAACGGCCACTGGGGGTCCATTTCGACGTGTCCGACACGTGAAATATGCTTGGTTTGATATCATAAATCCATTGAGCAAAAGTTGCGCAACAAGAAAAAAAATAGTTGCGGCACTCGATGTTGAAAAATAGTTGCGGCACTGGCAGTTCGAAAAAAAAAGTTGCGGACTCTGGAAAAAAAAAATTGCGGAAAACTCGGGATCCCGCAACTATTTTCAACCAACCAAAAGCTGTCTAAAAGTTGCGGAAAAACCTGAAAACAGCGAAAAAAAGTTGCGGAGATCAAAAAAAGTTGCGGATGATTAACACTGGTTGAACATTTCAAGTTTTTCGGTGGAAAAATTGGTGAAAAGTAGTTTGTGTTTTACACAAATTTTTCACTGAAAAAGTAGGTGAAAAACTTAAAACTTTTTCAAAGATTTCCACTTTCAAGCTGAAAAACTTGAAACAAAGTTAGAAAGTGGTGAAAAAGTTTTGAGTTTTTCACCTACTTTTTCAGTGAAAAATTTGTGCAAAACTCAAACTACTTTTCACCAATTTTTCCACCAAAAAACTTGAAATGTTCAACCAGTGTAAATGTGCATTTTGACCGCCATAGAATAAACCATGAGACATATATAAAAAATCAAAATAAAAAAAATGTCGCCATAACTAGTCAGACACCGGGAATCGAACCCGGGACTTCCTCAACTTTTGTAATAACACAATGTTCCCACTACACCATATCTGACTCGAAATACCCTCTCTTAAAGCTCACCTACATAGTGAATGTTATAAATAAGTTATGCAGTTGTTGAATGCCAACTGGAAGGAATCCAGAAAGAGGTTCAACAAAATGAGGGAATCGAGTCGACGAGCCCACCCAACTGGTGTGCCTACAAGATTGGAGCCTTCACTTGGATATGTTCGAGTTCAACTTCATTCCCTATCTAATCACTCCTCAACCTAAACCTGAAGTCCACAGACAAACAGCTCTTTTTGTTCACATCAAATCGAACCTACAATTAATTTCGGTCAACACTTCCTCATTCAAATTCACCCGACTTACCCTCCCCTTTTATTCAATTCGAATTTGAAGAAAACCTAGCTTCTCGTCCACCCTCAGCACTCACTGTAACTATTGATTATTGCAGCCACGCGCATACATATGGGCTTAGTCTCAAATGTTAGCATCATACAATTCATACATCATCCCCAATAAACTATAAGGCACAAGATGTGCCTTGGCTTCGCTCTGGCAGATAAGGATTTCACACAGTCCAAGGATCATGTTGACTTCCGCTATGGAAAGCTCAAGAACAAAGTAGAGACAGACACCAAATAAATTTCCCTGGAACAATTTAGATGGGTAGATTCCAGCCAGACTTCCCCAACATCGAGCACAAAACGAGTGGAACCTTCATGGATATGCTTTGAAGATAATCACCTTAAAGTTTGATTGGATGGTTACGGTTGGTAAAGCAGTCTGTTGGCATACCAATTCGAATTCCAGCCGCTCATCCGAGTCCTGGGGAATGCCCGTTGGCAATCATTGGAATAGAAAGAATAAATGAACCTGACATTGACATGGATTGTCAAAGGCGAGCATGGCCGCAAATGAAAGCTGAATAAACCACATTCTAGTGCACAATTTGCCAAGATAATTATGGTCATTGAAGAGGTGGAGTGAATGGGAACAACATTAGCGATACAGGCTTGTTTCAACACAATTTACCTTGCTCGCCTGAAATTACGGCAACAAAGATACCCCAGAATGCACCTCGAAAAACGCACTGGTACAGGTTGTTGAGAATGTGCAAACAAATTTGAGCGTTCTGGAGAGGTGCACTGCTTGCTGCAGGTGGAAGCCATTCAACTCAGGACAGACTCAGAGCAACTTTGATTAGTGTATGCTGTGAATAGGTGAGCAGCGCTGCATACCTCTAGAGATAACGAAGAATCCATACTGGCAAAGGTGTGAGAAGTTTGTTGAAGGAGCGGATATAATGAACTTGCCAGCACTGCTACGGGGGATGACCTCTGGACTTCTGTAGTTCTCGTTTGTGAGTGCAACGGCATTGAAAAGGGCGAAAGAGATTGTGTCTGTACCGAGAGCAGCGAGAAGTGAGTACATGATAAACACGCTAGCCTCGTGGTAGCTCTCGTAAATATCCCAGATCAACATCTTCAATTGAGCATGAAGCGTTGATGATTGGCGCGGGCGAGAAGAGACGGTTAACGTTCTTGAAGCTCTTGAGGAATGGGAGAGACAGAACATTATTGGAGCGACTTGAGGCATCTTGACAATCCAACAACAGCATGCAGCACTGAATATGGTTTGAGGACTGGCCTGGGATGTGGGGAAGAGGAAGAAAGCGAATCGACTCCGCAGTTCGCCAGCTGGGTATAAATGGAGGGATCGCAGCGCTAGCGCTGTGCTGGAGGATAGTCGGATCATGGTGATGCTAGGCATTTGTTGGGAAAGCAAACAAGACCTGTGACCCGATTGGGCTGCAACCACAGTAGAGGTGTGTTGCTGCGTAGCCGGTCATGGGGGTGGCTTCCCATGATACGTCGAACCATGTGCAGTGCAAAACAGGGTCAGGTCAAGGGGTGGAATGGGGCTACACATAGAGGTTGACCATTGAACAGAGAAATACAAAAGGAGCAGGACTAAATGGGGCTTGTAGCACAGCTTAAGGGCCATTTCGTTAAAGAACAGATAATTTGCTCACCTGGAATGACCCAGACTCTGGTAGTCAGAGTACTTGGACCGGTATTAATCAGCTGGATAGATGCCGAACAGGTGAATTCCGTTGAGTTCCTGTTGATGCATCATAGTTTCAGCACTGATTTTGCATGGACTGTCACATTTGCATACCGATTCCATATGCATGCAACTGGGATGGAGATAGATGTCAAAGTGAAAGGCTTCGGCGCAAAGGGGGAGGGGAGAATAAGCCCAAAGGAATTAGTTGCTATTTGTACACAATCAAACCACCAAAGAATTGAGACAGTAATTGTTAAGAGAATGAATAATAAAAGAGGCTGTCAGCTTTGCGTCAAGTGGCCGAATGCATCCATGGTGCAATCAGTGCACAAAAAAGCCTGGTGCCAGGAGCTTGATTTTGGCCAGACTCTTGTGGATTGTAAGATGCTCCTGAGCAGGATAACTTGGTCAAGGATAAGCTGACTTAAGTACTTAGATCCATTCTCGACACCTGTATTGCTATTACAACATTTTCCACCCCTCAACTCTTTCAACAGTTGGACCATGGTAACTTGATTTCACTTCTCCAAATGGGTAGAATGCTACCCATTCTCCACTGACACATGTCCATGATATTTCCGAGATCAATTGCAGGACCAATACCTTTCCACAAAACCAGGCTCAAGCGCAGGGCCAGGCTCAAGCCCTAGCCTGGCATATGACTACTTCTGAGTAACCCACTGTCCACATTCATAGCTTGCTATAGGGTTATTGTGTCAGTTTATAACTATATGTTGATAACTGCTCATTCATGAATTTAATGGTGGTGGGTTGATGTACCATGGTGTCGAGGGAATGAAATGGTTTCATGAGGCCGTCAAAAATATATCACTTGCATAGGAGTTAGTACTTATGGTACAATTTTCGGAATTATATGAGACCAACCTAATTTGTCCTACCAAAGTCACCTCCTCCTCTTTCTTCCTGCGTCTACTTCTTGCTCATTCCAGGCTTGGTAGCCTTCTATTTCTCTCTCCTCTCTGTAGACTATACAGAGGTCATATTAAGCACCAGCTCCTGAGCAGATATGCATTCTTGAGCTAGAGAGCTATAGGGGGTTATCACTCGAGCTCTGACCCCTCACTGCCCTCGTACAATTTTTAGAATCATACGAGACCAGCATAATTTCCTACTATATAAGCATCACATCTGAGCACCAATGCCCAGGCTCAACCAATCCATCATGCAATTCTTCAAATCAGTTTCATTTGTAGTGGCCATCCTTGCCATTGCTGCCAGTGCCAACCCAGTCCCCTTTGGCAACTCTGTCAGAGCCAACCCAATCCCCCTTGCCAACTCTGCCCATGCCAACCCGGTCTTCCACCTGTATGGAGACGGCTGTAGTCAGACTAGTGAAGGGTACTGCTGTTGTACATGGCCTGATGATGTCATTGGGGCCATTCCAGTATGTCTTTCTTCTTGTTTTGTTCATGTTGGGTACTGGTTGCTGACATGCCAGTGATAGATTTGCTACTGCCATTGATCTCAGCACCACCATGGACATGTGTCAGTGGAGAATGACCAGCATTTGGAGAGTGGAATGAAGTTACCATGGTCCTATTGTGGAAACAGTTAAGGGGTGGAAAATGTTGTAATTGCTATACAGGTGTCAAGAATGCATCCACATCTCTGTGATCATGTTATCCTGTGCAGGCTCATTCCGCAATCCACAAGTGGGGATAGGCACCACCATTGATCGGAACGGCATGTTTGTCCGTGTTTGTGCCCCAATCAAACTCGCAGGAGCCGAGATTTGTCCCCACACATCATTCTACATATGGTAACTACAGCACGTGATCTCGGCCCCGCCGCAAGCGACGGCGAAACCAATAATAATATTTTCCGGTACGATACAAGTGTGACAGACGCGTTTCGACACATTTTCAGGTGGCAAGAACGTGATTGAAGGGCCAGCTGGTAGAAACTTGGTGAAAACCCTCAAAAATATCCATTACAATAGAAATAATGTAAAGAAACTATGCTATCAACGGTAATATGAACGTCTCTCAACGGTATCTGGAGCCGCCGGAGGGTAGAAGTTATATGTACGATAATACGGGTTTTGATAAGGGTCCATTGGCGTAGTATTCGGAGTAGGTGCAGCCATGGGAGAGGTGGCAAGCTGAGAGGGACCCGGAAAAGTTGCAGTTGGAGGTGCCTGCACCCGGGAATCGTGCCAGTGTGAAGTGGAAGCTGATGACAGATGATAAAGCGGTTTCACTGGCATGTTTTCACGTGGATAAATATTAAGAGGGCGACGAGGCAAGGTGACAGGGTGGTTTTGGTGGATTTCGGGTGGAGGCAGAGCTACCACGGGTGGCACGGGTGGATATCGAGCATCAGGAAGCCCCTTGCGCCCACTCTGTTCCCCACCTGCGTAGGGGTCTTGATGCTTCGATGGTCGCTTTGACTTGACACGGGCTCCCATGAGCTGTTGTGTGGACTGCCACCCGGAGCCTTCATTCGGGGCAACCTTTTTACGAGCCGGTAAGACCTCTACATCCGTAAAATCGGTCTCAGCCAGCACAGCATCAACTGCGAGCTGCGAATCACGGAGGGAGGCTGAAAGTCGACAAGGCGGGGAAAGACGTGTGCACACTGCAAGGTGCTGCAGGTTATTAATAAGGTCCCGGATTTGGTGATCTTCTGTGGCGGTAAGATCCTCGTCGCATTCCTTGTCATCCTCGTCCTTGGAATCTTACTCGGGAAAGGTTGGTGTCGGGAACGAATTGGTGTGGCAAGTGAGTGATGAGACAGGGATGATTTTGTGGACCTCGGGGAATAACCTCTGCATGGCACATATGTGCTTGCAGAAATCAATTAATGGAAATGAGAGGCAGTCGCAGGTATATGCTTCCACCTCGACCGAATAAATTTGGGTGGCATCTGACTGCGAGCGGACACGGTAAATCGCTTCCCCCTCGACCTTCTCAACAGAACTTGCTGGAACAGAGAGAGCGCGGGACTTGACCTCCATTCGG